ATTTTTATTAGTTTATCAGAGTATAAAATACAAAAAAAATGAAAATAAGGGGAGATTAAGAGTGGGAAAAGGGGAAAAAGGAGAAAGTGTGTGGTGGAAGGGGAAAAGGGGGGGGAGGCATTGACTTCTGACACTTTTTTAGCACAGTAGAAGATAAATAACATTACAACCTCGACTTTTTTACTTTTACACAATAATATATACTACCCAATTGTATAACAGCAAACTATCTAATCAGGAAAACCAAAATCACAATTTTGTTTTTTTTTCCACCGCAAGGAGGAAATTTAAAAGTGGTTTCCTCATGGAAACTGGAATATGTTCTTTTCTTTGAATAAAGCAATCAGTTTAAGCATCCCTGCTTTTCGTCTTGCTTGGATAAATAACATATAATTCTGTTCACACCTATTAATCTTTATAGGCCAGTGTGTTTCTTAACCTTGGTGACTTTAAGTCCTGTGGACTTCAACTCCCAGAATTCCCCAGCCAGCTATGCTATGCTGGCTGGGGAATTCTGGGAGTTGAAGTCCAGACATCTTCAAGTTGCCAAGGTTGAGAAACACTAGCCTAGAAGTCCAAAAAGTGGAGTGTATGGACTACATTGAGCCTATCAACATCCTTTTCTGCTCCACTGAATCCAACTTTGTCCTTTCCTTCTTTTTAGAAAAAACATTGTGATCATCAGGAATCATTCATTCCTAAAGAACTTCTTTGTAAGAACCAGGACAAAAGGCAAATAAACCAAAATAAAAATACCAACCAGCATGTCTTAATCTCTTCAAAGACATTAATCACCTGAGATAGAAACTTCTAAGAATCCTGTATTCAGAATTGAATCCAGAATTCTAAACTTCTGAAAAGGACATCATTTTCAATCCTAAAACATTTTTGTAGTCCCTGTCTGAGGACTCATCTTCAGATGACATGCAGGACCAATGATAAGGCACTAAGGGAATCAGATATGAAATGCCAGACCAAACAGAAAGGAAAGGAAAGGAAAAAGCATCAGGCTTCATTGCACCAGATTCAAGTTCAGTTGATTCAGATCCAATCTCACAGTAAGGGGGAAAAGCTACTGCTAGAAAGCAGAAAAGTGGCAAAAACATGTATATAACCAAGAAGAATCTGGCACAGCCAAATCTATCAGAAGTAGACTGATACGAATGAATCAGTCTGATTTGTGGAGTTGTAAGGGTGGAAGAGGGCTCATTTCAGCTCATCTGAACGTATCTCCTATCCAGCTCCTTCTGGAAACACTAATTCTTGTCTGACGTCATCTCTTCCACTTTCTTGAGTATACATATTAATTCCATATATGATGGCCTGATTAATATATAGGTTGAATTGCTTGCTACACATCTCTAGCTAAAATAGTCTAACAACCCATGATATCATCAGATCCATAATCATTCAATAGGGCAAACATTTTATATCCTTATACAGCTTCCCCTTGGCAATCAGTTTTGTATTTGGCAAAAAAAAAACCTTTCAAAAAAGTTAATGTTTTAGGATTTCATATTAAACTGAATGAGATTTACCTAAAGACTACCTCAGTGTTTCCTCGCGGAAGTGTAGGATCTGTCAGTCTATAAAAAATGTAATGTGGTTTATACTACTTGTTTTATGAATTTCTTATTTATAAGCATTTTTCTTTGGACACCCAAACAAACCGTGATGGACCAAAATGGAAAAGGACTCTGTTCTACTTCCAATTACACATGCCATCTTTTATTTTCTTCAATTAGATGCTCTGTTTCAGGTTTCAGTCAGGCAACAAAAGGAGCTCCTTTTTTTGCCCGCCACCAGTGTTAAAACCTTACATATACAAAAGGTCTTTGCCCATTATGGGTAGAATCAATCAGCAGGATATAATTTTTGCGAAACAATTGAACACCACCGATTAGCATGCAATTCACCCGACGGGCAAAAAAAGGAACAAGAGCCAAACAAGATTTCAGAAGCAAAAAGATATCAGCATTCACACAAAAGTTGAGTCATGACTTCAATACTTTTAATAAACTATAAAAAAGAGAGCATTTGCTGCAGCAACATCATTTTGTGGAAAAACCCAAACGCCTGTGAAATATTGAAGCACAACGTGGAGGCTTAATCACAGATTAGGATTATACTGTGCCAAAAGGTGGCTAGACTCTGCCTTATTATGCAGGGTCCCGAAGGAACTTAGAAAGTCCAAGTGCATTCAATCAGTTTTGAAATTTGGCTTGGCACTGATCCTGAATTAATTAACCCTGTTTCAAAGTTACCACTGCCCATCAAACATCAGGCAGTGATCTTGTCTTTTCGAGATAAGCCCCCAAACATTTTGATGTTCCCCACCCCGCCGGGAACCAAAGGTGCTGAAACATTAAACCTGCCTGTTCAGGGAGCTGGATCTTACCTTCGATGAGAATTCCTGTTGCTATTTACGTGGCCCCGGCCTGTGCAGCCTGGTGTAGGACACTTAAGAACGTTTTCATGCATGGCAAGAACTTGACAAGAAGAAGGAGGAAAGGAAACAGCGGAGTGTGGAAACAACAACAAGAAGAAAAAGATTTCAAGTCCAAGTTTATAGGAAGCTATTTTAGTACAAAGCAAGATTCATTAATGATCAGCATTTCTGAAAACAGACATGGGGTAGGTCGCGCCAATCAAGCCTGGGAAGGGAGAGAGGGCTTGCGGTGTGCTTATTAACGCAGGATGATGTTAAAACATTTGGGGTTATGAAGGGAAGGAAACCTAACGGTTAATGCGTCTCTGGTGTGACAGTTAAGCAAAAGACTGCAGACACAAGCAGTGAGCAAAAGTACCGAAGAGCACAGTGGCCGCTTGGAGCCATTTTAAGAAATATATACAGAAGAATGAACTGATTTATGTACACAAAATAGGCATCCAGTATCTGGAGTCAGTATAGCATAACATGTAAGCCGATTCATCTCAGGGCAGCCAGAGGTGGGCAGGAAGGATGTTGGTCCTGAGGCCTACCGAAGAAGGCTCAGGATATATGCAGAACTATGGCTTCTGAAAAGTTCAGTGGCAGTTGGAATCCCAGAAGGGCTATCAGAACGGTGGTTTTCTGCTGCCTTCACTTCATGGGGACGGAGCAGAAAGAGGAGAAGCACCAGGAACAAAGGAGGTGGGCAAGAAACAGGTTTTGAAGAAGGGCGGGTAAGTTGTGCAGACCAGAGCCAGGAACTTTGGCTCATGATGCAAACAGGATTGTCATTCAAACAAATAGTGGGCAACGGCTGCATTTGGGTGATGCAGGAGCCAATTCCAGGGTTCATTTTCCTGGATCTCAAATTCTCAGGATTCGAGATTGCAAGAGGGCGCCCAGTTCAAAACATGTGTGGTCTGACTCACCAAGGAAGAATAATTTTGAGGGGGTGGGAGTAGGGGATGCCGCTGAGTCAACCTTGGCTGCTTGTAGTTTACCTGGACTAGTCTGCAGGTTTTTGGGGGGTATTTTGGGGGGGTTGGAAGTGGTGTGCCCTCGCTTTTTACCTAGAGCCAAGAGAGAGGGACTGACCCAAAGTCACCCAGTTGGCTTAATGGCTTAATGCCTCAGGCAAGACTAGAACTCACAGTCTCCCAGTTTTAGCCCAATGTCTTAATCCTACACTGAGCTGGCTCACAAATATAATTTATCCTAAATAAAATCTTTAAATGCTAAACCAGAAAGTCATCCATTGGGGGAGGGAGAGGTTTTTTTTACAGGGGAGGGAAGGAACAAAATGTGTTGTGACATTACAACACAAACTCCACCCTTTTTATACTTTATACATGCAACATTGTGTTGCCAGTACAAAAGAGTAGAACTTGCGTTGTGATGTCACAATGCACATTTCAGGAGTTTGATATCATCACGATTTGAAGTGGATGCCCACGTAAACCAGCCTTTTTGCAACAAATGTCCTCCAGCTATGCTGAAACCCTAACCGCCCTTAATTCCAGAATGGATCGTGCTGGCTTGGAATCCCGAGAGTTACAGTCCCAACATATCTGGAAGGCACCGTGTCAAGGAGGTTGCACGAAACAATTATTTGGCCTTTCGTTTGTTTTCAGCATATTTGATGAAATTAGCCAGCGACCGTCTGGTGTGCAACATGAAGAAAATGCTTTGAATTCATATCACCATCACATGATGACTTATGCAAAATTACACTACATTTCAAAAACAAAAACCAATCTTGAAATCATGTTCAATGCTTACATGAAAGCCAAGGACATCAGAAATAGAACCTGTACATATTGATTTAAAGAATAGTCACAACCACCATAATTCATCACCATCACCACACCACTAGCAGTGTACTAAAGATGTGAAAGCTTCACTCTGGAATTCCTGCTATTCAAGGCTGTTCTTGAAACATGCTTTACAAGCCCAGCACTGCAGGAGTCAGGGAAAAAAAAGAAAGAAAAGAAGAAAAAAAGATGATCTCACCTTTTTCACTTTTATCACTACTGAACATGCAAACTGTTTAAAGCTATATTCTTCTTTGATCGGCAACATTTCCTAAATGCTTTGTGTTTACCCTTTACCAGGAAGGAAAAGATGAAATGCTCTGAGCAACCGAGTAAACATTTGAGTTTGAGACAATTATTGGACTTGCAACTGAATTCCTTTGATCAGTGAAATTCACACGCTAGCTGAGAAATTGTTATTTTTTTTAATTTTTTAAAAGTGTTTCCCTGAGCTTTATTCAATATAAAAAGGAAAGTCTTCTATAGAAAGAAATATACCATCCAACTCCATGCTTTTAAATTGCATAAAGTTTTAGAAGTCTGTGTTAATCACTCTACGTCTTTGTGATTGTAAATTCATCCATTATTGAGAATCATTTTGCTCAGGAGGCAGAACAATTCAATTTCTCACTTAGAAGTGAGAGAATGAATTATTTGGAGTATTACCCATTCTACCACCTTATACTACCAAGTCCTGAATAAAAGGAGTTTACTTAGTCTAAAATATGATACATTATAGAGGAAGGGGAATGAAATTTATATGAATACCCTACATCACATGGTAGGATTTCCTTATACAATAGCAGTATGCCATTTAGCATTTATATTTGGGGTATATTATGAATAGTTTTATTTGCTTAGTTTAATCTGTTTTTGTACTGTTACACGGAGAATAAATACCCAGATTTTAGAAAGCCATCATCTGATACTGAGGAAATTTTTATATAACAGTTTAAACTAATAAAAATTTGCTCAAAAATCAAACAATAAGTTGGTTTGTTTAGCTTTCTTGAGAGATGTATGAAGAATTTCTTATAATTTAAGACAGGTGCAATTTTTAAAATCATACTTCTTCTTCCTTTATCCCTTTTATACAGCCACAACATATTTATGCTAACATCACAAGTTGAATTACTACAAATCAATCAAATTTTTCAAGGTCAAATATTTTAAGTAATGACATGTTTTTAGTATATAAACATTTCAGTGATTCAGCTGTACATTTTCAAACGGAAAGGTACATTTCCTTCATTTAGTCAAGAGAAAATCCTTTTCAAGGAGTAGGTACAATTACTCAAAATCAAAATAATACAGTTTGGTTGGCAAATACTTGTGCAAGAAAGCCATTGCTTAGAGATATCCCAGAACTCTCAGGATCAAAGAATACAGCTTTAAAACATCTTCATTCAAGCATAAGTTAGTAAAGATGTGAAAATGATGAAATAAGAAAATATATAAATGTAACATAAAACAAATTGCTAAACTGAGACATATACTAGAAAAATGGGAGGAATGAAAGAGCAATCAAAATAAAAAGCTTCTCAAGAAGGCATGCTAGAAAAGTTTGTGTGGAGTTTTATCCCCCGTTTCCATGAAACAATGTGGACTTACTTTCTGGAGGGACCCTATCTTTGTGTGGGCATCCTGACAAACTGCGGTGATGGGGGTACAGCCCCGTTACATGGCCTGTTCCATCACACCCAGGGGTTGGACATTTGCTCTCTTTCTTTTCTGTTCTTGAGGGATCTATAATTTACAACAAACGTGTCAAGTGAATGAGGTTTTTCAGATTTCCAAATGGACGTAGGTTCAGTTAATGAAATCAGTAACTCTCTGGAAAATGTTCTTAAAGAAGGCAGGAAGAAAAGAAGGCAGGCTCTCTTTGAACAACGTTATGTCTGTCCTGCTTCTTCTTTTCAACCAGGAGCTATGACAATTGCAACCATCCTCACACATGGAGGGTCCTATGTGGTGACTCTCTTCCAGCAAAGCCACCCTGGTCATTTAAGAGACTTCTGCAGAACATTCGTGTAGGCTGCGCTTGGCTCTCATTTTTAGCACTCACATTTCGATGCTAATAAATTGATGGTGGGAGAAGTATGGAGATCCCATGAAAGGGGACCCCCCCCAAAGGTTGCAAGTTATTCTTGTAGTGGCATTTTTAAGACTTATTGACTTATCAAAACACTGTTAAAGAATATTAGAACTTAAACAAAAGGGTGTTTCTTTCCAATATTAATTAGTAGAGGTTAAAACAGTTAGTTTTAATTTGGCCCAATAGTCATTTACTTATGATGTTTGAATACATGACATTTAAACAATTTTTTTTTGTTGATTTAATTAATGAGATTCTCAGAAAAACTATTCTAAGAAATATTTCCTGCCCGGAAATCAACAGGATTAGTGCAGATTTTTTTTCTGGATTTTGAAATGCAATTCCAATGCCATTATTTCATGCTTTTTTTTTCCTTTTTACTAAAATATTGCTCATCAATCTTTTTACACAATCAGTTATCCAAAGGGAAAAAAATATTCAAACAGTTAAATTCAATTTCTGATTTGTATGTATATTCAAGAAAACAGAGCAGAAGAATAAGAACAAATAATGTAATTCTTTTGGGATTTTTTTTTGGGGGGGGGGTTGAGGGTGAGGGGAGAAGGACCATGATGATTGTAAGTCTCGATTCCTTGAAATGGTCCATCTCGCTCCCCTCCATCCTCCTGCTCTATATCAGCTTCAGTGCAGTTATAAGACTTGTGATATTTTCAGATGCCTGGAAAATGAACTTTGCTTTGAATTCTTAAGTCACAGTTTTAAAACAAGTGATAGAAAAGGGAAAGAAGGAGGTTCTGAATCTCCTCAAAAGGAAATCCTGAACTCTTCTAATCTTCTTCCCCGATAAGCACTTTAGCACAGAAGAATAAGTGCTAGTGTGCATGGATAAAAGAAATAATCTCCCCAACGCAAATTACAAAAATAAATAAATGATACGTATTTCAACTCCTTTTTTTAATCCTATGATTATATCCATGCAAATCAGAGGCTGAAGTCAACTGAAAGAGAACTAAGAATCCTAACAAGGTAAATAAATCAAGGTTTCGTTCTTTGATAAAATATTGAGTAGATAACAGGATTATTATTTCAGGTGCATTTCACAAAATTATGGTGCATATGCAACCATCCCATTTCCCTGATGATTTACACATTTGTCAAATTCACACTTTTCATTTTCAAAACATGCTTTTGCACCAATTTTAGACAATTGTAAGCACCTCTGAAATAATTCAGTGGATAAAGGAAATTATTTCAAGATAACTACTTAGAAGTAATACATTCTGAATTTTAGTTTTGTACAGAAACGCTAATATTTTGATTAATATGTAGCCAGCTTTCAAACAGATACATGCAATATGGCACATAGGATTCAAATGCACAAAGGGTTCAAATTCAAATTAAAAAGTCAACTTTGATCATTGAATAAATTTATCCTACTTACAGCAAATGAAAAAAAAAAGTTACCAACATTTTCTGACTGGGTTGATTTTACTTGCTGTAGATTAACATTAGAGTGTTTAAAAGTTTTTTTAATCTCATTTTCTCCCATATCCTAAATCTCAGTTCAAATTAAACATTATCGGCATGACAGCTTAGATCTTTGTCAAATTTAAGACCTTTGCTTTTTATATTTAAACACAGATTAAAGCAAGAAATTATAATTCACAAGTGGATCATTTCTAATTATTCCTGTGTTGCAGACTAACACACTATACAAGGCCAATGTATTGTATAGAGAGAGCAGAACTTATCATCTTTGTTTTATAGTCAAGTATTATTTTATTGTGAGCTCACAGAGTTGAAATAAGGTCATGTTCTACACTAAACTGTTCATTTTTATCCATGATCTCTGTGGCTAACCATGACCTGGGACCACTTAGTGCACATATAAATTCAAACAGCCATCATGCGGTTTTATACACTCTTTGTGCTTCCGCTCCATGAAAGTTCTCATCTAAAAGTAGTAGATCCTGATAGTAGATCGGGACATTTATCAAAATCAGGAACAGATGGAAATTCTGCCTCTCATCAAAGGAGATGCAAGAAATTTGCACACTGGTTGTTATAAGCTCACATTTGATACCTAGCAGTCGGTGGAATATTTTGCAATGACTTCATAAGTTCTCTAAGGAAACCTAATTATCTGAGCCTTCACGTCTTGGGAAATATATTTTCGCAGTCGTATGCCTTGTCAGCCAAAGAAGCCTGACAAAAACCGTCTAACAAAATACAGTATATTAATTAAATATTCAGTCACATTATTAGGAGATCAATAAACCTGCAAAAAGTAAGCAGATGAACAAACAGCTGGCGGCCCATAAGACGTGATAGGAAAGTTGCTTTGATCACAAATTGTGTGGGAGAAATTGTGTAGGATGTTTCAAAAGAAATATTTTAGCAATATTTTTAATAAAACAGGAATTCTTACGAATAGACCAAATATCTATGTTCTCTTTGGACCATGTAATATAAAATAATACATCTCAGAATAATTAATAATATTCCCCTAAACAAATGAAGAAATGTTCTAGTGACTTTTAATAGTAATAAACTGAGGCTAATCACTAACCACAAGTCTATAGAAGTTGAGAATAAAATACCACTGGTGTGTAGCTCCAGGTTTACTCCCTGCTACATACTCCAAGGCATTTGTATACCACAAATTTTATGTAAGTCTTACAAATAGCTCTTTGAGACATACAGTATTTGAGACATGTCTAAAAATAAATTAATAAAGCCGGTCAATATTAATTTTATATTGTGGTCATGCTATTTCATGTAACAGTATTCCAGGGCAACAAGAAGGATAATAATTAACAAAAAACATATAGCATAAATAATGTAAATCTTTAGACAATTAACACTGGAAATAAATGCATAAACATCCATCAATACTATTGACACAGTATCAGTTAATGAGCTGAAATACCTAGAATAAGATTCTTATAGTTCAGATCAAACTCATAGGTTATTTGAACAACAGTGAACACTAATTTAATAAGCCAGCCACAAATGCAGAAGAAAAATGTTTTTATATGACCTATATGGAACTTCATTTCCAGGGCATTTTTCTCCTCCAAACATTGAGTAAGGGAAATACCTTGGTTATTTTGAAAATAATTATTGTGCCCTCCTTTAGATGCTTCAGGTATTTTAAGACTGAAGTGTAAATGTGTATGCTGATATTCCTATCATCATCTTATCCAAGAGTTTTTGATTTCAGATTTAGGGTTTATATATACTTGATGGTGATTGACACTGGGACATAACTTTCATACTTTATTTTTAAATCTAGGAGGAAAAAAGGGAATGCTAAAGGATAATGCAATGCTTCTGGTTCAAAAGCCAAACAAGTGCTTGACAGTACCTCTTCGCAGCTTTTTAAAGTAGCTGTATCTTTTCCATCAAATGAGACATTAAATTTGCCTACTGTTCCCATTTCAGAGCAAGATACTGCTTTTGACCTCATTAATTATTTTTCTTTAGAAACTCTTTAAAATTGGTAAAACTATTTTGAATCCAGTTAAGATACTTTTTAAAAGAAATGTACATAAAACTCATAGTTTATAAAACTTTAAATAAAAAATAAAACTTAACTAGACCTTATTTTATCCAAATAATTAATGTGTCAGGCCTGTAGCCGTATTCCTTTTGGATCTTTGGCCTGCCACACTTTCTATTATTCTACTATGCCTTTTCTATTGTGGGAAAATGGGAGGGGGGGGTTGTACGGAGTAAATGCTATGTAGCCAAAATAAAATCCCTTTCTAGAAAGCCAAGATCATCCTTTGTCTCTGCGTCTCTGCACCTGACCAGAACTGGAAGGATGGAACTGCCAGCATGGCAGTGGAAGATTGGACCATGGGATGGACTTATGGGTATGGGGGGGCAGGATCTTGAACTTTCAACTGGGTGGGGAAAACCGGGAAGCTTTCAGATTCGGGTTTTCCCAGATGTGCCAACAGGAAAGTTCTGGTAACCTTCAGAATTTACAAAGACAGATACATGTATATGAATCAAATTAGCAGCAGTTCCCATAACTTAGTTAATTGTTATGAATACTTTTTTAAATCATGCAAGATGAAGCTGCCTTTATTCAAAATTTCAGTGTAGTACATTGTGCTTACTAATGCAAGTATGTGCTCAAGAGTAATTGCACGTACAGAAAATATACAATCAGAATTGGTTCCAAGATAGTAACTTCAATACTGTACAATGTAATACTGTATAAATTATAAATTCATATGTCTTAGAGCTTTAAATCCTGTTTTTGTCTTATAAACTTTACTTAAGGAAAACATGTTGCAGAATTTATAAAATGTTTTAATCTTATAATCTATGTCACAATTCTATTATTTATAATATAAAAGCCTTATCGAAGCAGTTTAATATTATGCTTTGAACAATATAATATCATCTATATCCATCTGTATTGATCACACATCCCTCTAATAATGTTGTTTCTTCCAATTTTTATTAAAGTTAATGGAAATCAAAAGTACTCTGCAGCTCTTGGGAATATTAAACACTTTGTAAGAATGTGGATTCAGGAAAAATATTTATATTTATATACTATGTACAAATGAATAAAAATCTTTATAGTAATTATGCTTAGATTTTTTCTTGCATGTTGTGTCATAATTATTTCTAAAGGTAGTAATTTAACTATTTCCATGAATGCATGAAACTAGTGAGGTGGAATGTCTATAAGAAATTGCTATTGATCGCAGACCAGGACACAGCGTGTCTTCCGTGGCAAATGGTTTTCATTATCTTACTATTTGAGATAATTAATGTGCAGTTATTGCTTCTATCTTATGTTATCAGTTCAATTTCTATCAAGAAATGCCATATTTTATGCAGGAAAGTGTTAATAACTACCATTTGATGATAATTGTATAAACCAGGATGTCCCCCATAGTCAAGTCTATAAATACTTGATATTTTACAGCTGGCTGATTTGATTGTCCTGCACCCAACCTCAACATGTAAGTGAATTCATACAAGGTATTTCCACACCTCTTTGTTTTCATGGGATAAACTGATACGATGTAGGAGAAGAGCAGGCAAAACGGGGGGAGGGGGGAATTAAAAGTGTCATCAGTTTAGAGTTCTCACATTGCCACAAATAATCCAAATCCAGCCCCCCCCCCTTGAATTTCTTTGGCGTTTATCTAGTGCCAATTTAGTGCTGACTGCTAGTTGCCTAGATTTCTGCATACGGGCTTGAATAAATCTTCTGTGCTGCAACTTAATATATGGTCCTGATGCTTTGCACCTGATATTAATCTAGTCAACTAACTCAGGGACATTTATTCAAGCCTGTACACAAGAATCTAGTTAACTAGATGTCAGCACTAAATTGGCGATAGATAAGGGTTAAAAAAATTCAAGGGGAGTTGGACTTGGATCATTTGTGGCAACGTAAGAACTCTAAGCTGATGACACATTTAACTCCACCCCCAAGATCTCCCTGCTCTTCTATTTCTGGTCTGCATTTCAGGATAATCATTGCTTACTTTTTCAGTAATTTTTGTTTTCTTTTTTTCCCTCTTGAAATTGTACTTTTTTTTACAGAAACAAAAATAATATTAGTTTGGATTTTATAAAGATTTGTTAAAACTTTGAACAACACCATTATACATTAAGATTTATCTCTATTTTATCATTAGACCGCATACTTTAGATAGAAATATTACCTTTACCATAATATGGCTTTTTGATATGGCCATCACTGGATTTGGATTTCCTCTCATCTCCAGAAAGCTGCCTTGGAGAATGCTCTTCATAGGATCTCATATTATCCCTCCGCCCGGCTTCCATTGCCATTTTTTCCCTCATGGCTTTTGCTCTTTCCGTTTCTAAAGCAATCGCTTTCTCGAGTAGCGTTAAGTTCCCTTTTGTCATATCGAACACCTCTTCAGATCTATCTGAGGTAATAGAAGTGGTGTCATCGTCTCTTTCGTGACACCCATCCTCTTTCGCACAACTAGAAAAAGTTCTAGATCTCGGGCTCAACTGTTCTTCAAGCCTCATTAAATTCATCATATCAGAATAATTCCTATCAGGTGTCCTTCCTTGGAAGTCATCTTCTTGCCGGACATGTTGACGAGAATTCATGTTTTGCTGTTGATTTCTTTCCTGTGGGTTTGTCTCACTGAGTTTGCGGGCCAAATCAAAACATTGATTCCTCAAGCATTCCAAGCTGCTGAGACAGACCTCCTCGTCACTCTCTTCCACCATTTTCTCAGGAAGGCCGTTGTTTGCAGTCTTCCCTAGCATCGCATAGTTCATGTTTCTATTTTCTTGCTGAGACAGGTCTGCATAATTTCTATCGTTGACATTTTCTGAAAGCACAACGCCGTGTCCTTGTGCTAACAGTTTCAATGAGTCCACAGTTTCCCTAACAACGTCGCTGTCTAAGTCTAAACTCAGCTCGTTCTTCCGGCCAACATTTTCGTTTTTGTCACTATCATCTTCCAAGCTATTAGACGTATTGCTATTCATTTCTGATTCTGTCCTGGCTCTGTAGGCTGCGTCCTCCGCAATTTTGCCAAGATTTAACAATGACTTGGCTACCAGTTCATCATAATTATCGTATTCATCATTATTGTTATCGTCTTTTTCTGAATCTTGCATTCGAGTATTGTGACAATTCATTTGATGGTCTTCTGCATACAAGAAAAAGAAAAGATAAAGGAAATGGGGAAAAAAGGAAAGGGAAAAATGGCTGGAATTGGAACTTTTTCTACAATACTATCAACAGTCACAAATTGTCAATTATATTTTTTGCATATAGCAGTTATAAGCCCTAAAACAGTACTATTTTAAACTAGAAATAAATAAATTGACTATTTTCAAGTCTATGTTTTTTTAATCATTGACTATATCTGCTCTATCAGTGTGGTATTAGTATCAGTCATAGGAAGTATATTTCTTACAAATTATTTACAATTATAGTCTAGAGTGATTTGTAAACTGTTCGATACACTTCCTCTCTAATTTCCAGTTTTACTATAAATACATTTTTTGCACCATTTTACTTGTAAGGATTGTTTAAATAGCCAAATCCTATTTTGTTTAATACAACAGATGGAGGAGAAATTAACACAATGGATTTTAAAAAAATCCTATACCATAAACACAAATTTTGTTGGATTAGATCCAGATTTTAGACATATTTAGGACAGAGCCATTGAAATTAATTATTCTACTACTAAATCTAGTCCCAATGCATTCTATGCAAAAGAATAACATTTTCCTGGAGGTAATGGGTGAAAAATGTAGTTGGCAGGTGTTTTAAACAATTAAATTGGATCTTGCAGTTCACTGCCTATATAAATATTTATATTTACAACACAAATATGTGAAAACATGCCCATATGTTATCAACAATAGTTTAAAGTTTATAACTAAACCAATCAAATATATGTGGAATCATGACAATAAGTACTGCCTTTTCCAATAGTAGTATTTACTTTATGATTACATGATGTTTTTTGTGTGGGGTCCATAAAAGAGATTTAGTCTATCATGGTCTTAGGACCATTACAAGTATTTTTCTCAAATATTTTTAAGTTTACCAACCCATTGTTAATAAAACAATATAAAAACAATCATATATATATTTATTTATCAGCACAAATACAACATATATATATATATATATATATATATATATATATATATATATATATATATATATATATATATATATATATATATATATATATATATATATATATATATATAAATAAATAAAGTCACAACCCCTGGTATGCCCAAATATGGGAGGAAGTTCACTGCTTCCATTCTCTGTCCTTCGGCTCGTCACAAGAGACCATCCAGACAGAAACCCAATATTTTTACTGTTGCCTTTTTGTTACATTTGTGTTGTATTTCTGCTGAGAAATAAATAAAGGGAGACTAGTATAGATCTATTTCAAGCTATTTAGCTCTCATCAGCTAGCCATGTATATATATATATATATATAAAACTCTTGATTAAGAAACATGGAACAGTTTAGGTCTAGCTAAAGACATTGCTCACCATTCCTTCCTACTCTGTGACAACATTCAGAACAGGGTGTGCAAACCTGATTCTTAATGTCTACATGGCAAGAGGCAGCTCTGCTCTGTCGCTCTCCAGCATCCCCAAAGTGCACACACTTATTGTAATTCTGTTATTGAGTGGTTGAGCCTCAAGAGCCAAGTTCCCAAAGAAAGCCAGATGTCTAAGGCACAGAACACATCCCAAAATACTCTGCTGCAAAATCTAGGGACAGCAGCCCAGATGTAGAGTTTTCTGTAGAACCTGAATTACTGTAATTCAGATATGCTGAAACTTACTGAAAAGTTCTCTCACTTATAACTCTTTTTTTAACAAAAGAGATGACACTTAATACATACTCATTTTTTATCTATTTGTATTTGGAGATGGATTCATCTTCTCACAATTTAATAAGATATTGATCACTCGGATATGAAGGCCTTAACCAAATTCTTACCTATTATAAATCAAGATAAGAATGCACTGATTAGTACCAGAAGGAGAACTTGTGAGCAATATCAGTGCAGATTATTTTACAGAAGATTAGTGATAAGAGAAGAAGAATATTGGGGGGGGGGGAGAGGTGGACAAAAACAGGTCCATCACCCTGCAATATGCTTGCTTTTTATAGTGCATAGGGGAAAAAATTCTTCAACTCACCAACGAATACAATAAGAACATTTTAAAAAATGGATTGTGCTTTGGGAGAGGTATGTCAAGATTATTCAACAAGTACATCAAATACTCAGCATATGTATAATTTCTTAACAAAAATGAATACACGTGTGACTGGTTGCTTAGCAACCGTTCAAAGTGATGGCAGACCTCCCCCAACCGACCTATGACTCAACTTCAAAGTCATGATGGCGGCACAAGCACCCTCCCGTGGTCATGTGATCACATCTTGGTCACCTGACAACCAGATCACCTTCCCAGCCTTTTGTAGCATCCCAGGGACATATAATTTTTGACATTTTTGCCAGTTTCTGGGATTTGCTTTCAGTTTCTGGCAAAAAGCGATCATTTGAGGAAATGGATTTGCTTAATGACTTCGGCATTCACTTAATCACTGCTATAAAAATGCCTTAAAAATTGGATCCAGTCATATAATTCCTCAACATATAATCACAATCACAATTATGTTATTTACAAACATAATTCCAGACTCAGTTATGGTCAAAAGGACGACCTTGTATATGAAATTGTATTTATTAGAATAAACATAATGAAAAGCTATGGCAATTCAGAACGTCTCCTCTCATTACTACAGGTAGTCTTCAACTGACAACAGTTCACTTAGTGACGGTTCAAAGTTACAATAGCACTGGATAAAATGACTTACGACCATTTTTCACAGTTACAACCTTTGTGGCATCCCCCAGGTCATGTGATCAAAATTCAGAGGCTTGGCAACTGGTTCATATTGACGGTGGTTGCTGTGTCCTGGGGTCATGTGATCACTTTCCCCAATTTTCTGACAAGCAAAGTCAGAAAAGCCAAATTCACTTAACAACTGGATGGCTAACTTAACAACTTCAGTGATTCACTTAACAACTGTGGCAAAAATGTCATAAAATAGGGCAAACCTCACTTAACAAATGTCTCACTTAACAACAGAAATGTTGGGCTCAATCACGGTTCTAAGTCAAGGACTACTGGTATACTAGAAGTTGAATAAAGTTACAAAAACTTCAGAAACAATTACAGGGTGTGAGTTAGTATAGAACGAAGCCAAATAATTTATACAAGTTGATTTGAAGCTGCAGTTTCCTTCTAGCTTTAAGAATTGCAAAGCATCTTGTCTGAAAATATTTCTTCCTTTTCCCCTCCTTTTCAAAGATGAGTGAGCACTATCACTCCTCCATGACAGTGATCCACACATTTAAACCATTGTACTGGTGCAAGTAAAAGCACGCCTGGTGTGAACTAAGCAGTGAGGATCTCCAGGTCATTCTTATTGCCACTTGACCAGTGGCATTGAAGATGCTGATACTTGGTGGATAGTAATACCTGGAGGGCCATAAATGCTTGCTGCCTGAGCAAAAGTGTAACCACAAGTTCATTTTAGTAACTACTTTTTAACGAATATTACCTTTTAAGTAAGAGAAGGAAGGGAAAGAACAGGAAAGGGGAAAGAACTTTCTTTTCATTCTGTAGCACCTGATCTGTATGGCAGACCTGGAGAACAGAATAAACTAGAATTGTGTTCCATTAGAGCAATAGTTCACTATCTTACACTATATATCAATTTACAAATGTTCATATAGATATACTTCCTTTTCATTTGTAGATATTGAAAACAGAGGAAATCATTCTAGCTTTGATGGTATTATGGGGTCCACTCTGCATGTGATGGTATGCTGATAAAAGTATTCCACTTACTTTAAAGTATTTTAGAAACACCTGTTTAAATTGTGTGTGTTTAAAACTTGGCTGTGGAACTGAGCCTGGGGTCTCTATGTGTTAAGGGCCCCATTTCTTCGCTTTACTATTAGTATGCTGCTGTCACGGGTGGCATTCTGCTGGTTCACCCCGGTTCGGGCAAACCAGTAGTGGCAGCGTCGGGAGACACTCTGTGCATGCGCAGAAGCGCCCCCTGGTGCGCTCCCGGTTCTGAACCGGTAGCCATAATAATATGCCTGGCTACTGTATGTATTTATTTTTAGATGTTTCTACTGTTTGTTTTATAGTTTTAGAATTGTCAGCTGCCCAGAGTTCCTGAGATAATTGCTTGTGCCCAGGAACATGTATGTTCATGTATTTATCTATATATATAAAAGCAAAAACCACTCACGCCGGATCACAAAATCTCCAAAACCATAAAGCTACAAACTTGAAATGTGGCATGTATGTCCCTCTTGGCTTCTAGGTGCTCGCTTAGAAAGGATTTTTCAAAATGACCATCAGATCATTAGTATTTGTTATATTATCATTAACCCACTTTGATGCTAAGGAGTTCTACTCCCCCCTCCCCACCTGAAAAGATTTCTGTTCAAACTGCCACTTGGGTGTGGCCAGCGTGTGACTCATCTGGCCTGCGGACTGGGAGTTTGGAGAGGAGCCTGAGGGAGAGAAGGGGATGGGATAGGAGAGGCTTCTGTGGGAAAAGGCTGAGGGAGGGAAGGGGAGAAGGGAGGCCGATTGTAACTGCTCATTAATTTTCAAGCTGTGTCGATTTATCAAGCCCAATCACATAGCGTCAGCCTCTGTTTTGGCTGCCACTGAAACGGGGAGGGAGGGGGCTGGTATTTGGAAAGGGAAGTTTTAAGTACAGGAGAGATTGTAAAAAGGGAGTTTTGTTCTCACCATCTACTGAGCATGCTGGAGACTGGTGCTTGGTGTTGGTCAAGGCCAACCGTCCTGCATACCAACCTGATGATGCTCCTTGAAGATGGAACGTGTCACATGACACCTGAGGGATTTGCAGATTGGACAGTGGGATGAGGGGGTTGGGTCACATATTGATATCTATGATTTCGCGGGCTTTTTGCCTCAGATCCAGCTTTGCTTAGCTGCTATCTTTTCATAACCAGTAAAAGTACTCTTAATTCTGCGAAATGGGGTTAAGTGGTTTCTTTCTTGGTTGCTGAGGGAGGCCGGCTTGATACATAGTTTTGAAGC